AGGTTCCACAAATCTACAGGGCCGTTTAGAACCATTTCCAGCTCCCTCCCTCCCCCCGCCCGTCCACACATCATCAAGATGAAGAGCGAGAGGAGGAATTCTGGGAGTTGAAGTCCACAAGTCTTAAAGCTGTCAAGTTTGAACACCCCTGGGGGTTTTTCTTCTAAAGGGTTAGGGGTAAAGGGTCTTGTAACTTGACAGCTTTAAGACTTGTGTGTTTCAAATGCCAGAATTTCTGAGCCAACATTACTGGAGGAGGAATTCTGGGAGTTGAAGTCCACAAGTCTTAAAGCTGTCAAGTTTGAACACCCCTGGGGATTTTTCTTCTAAAGGGTTAGGGGTGCAAGGGTCTTGTAACTTGACAGCTTTAAGACTTGTGTGTTTCAAATGCCAGAGTTTCTGAGCCAACATTTTGCTTGCTAAACAAGAGCGTTGTTAAGTGAGTTTCACCACATTTTACAAGTTGGCCACGCCCACCCAGTCACATGGGTGGCAAGCCACTTCCACCCGGTCGCCACTGCCCCACACCCACAAGTCCATCACATGGTCCAATCTTCCACTGCCACACTGGCAGCTTCCACCCATCCAGTTCCGGACAAAGGATGATCTTGGCTTTCTAGAAAGAATGTTGTTATGGCTACATATCACCCAACTCCGTACAATCCCCCCTCCTATTTTCCCACAGTAGAAAATGCACAATAGAATAATAGAAAGTGTGGCAGGCCTAAAGTCCAAAAAAGGAAAAGATCAGAAGGTCTTTTCTCAACTTTCAAAGAAGCCTTTACAATCCAGATTGCTTAAAAGCTTTTAACGGCTGTTAATTTCAAACGGTGCACTTTACTTGCCTTGAAAAATGCCGGGTTAAGGTCTCGATTTCAAAATGCCCTGCAAACAGTTCAGTATATCAAATATGTTGAGTGGGTAAATAAAAGCACAGCTACGGGGTGTACCAAAAGTCATAGGCCAATTGCAGTATGTTTTGTTAACATCTTTTGCCAGAGAAAACGTGAACTCTTCAAAGGTTATGCAGCCAAGAAATAAGGAGCGTGTTTAGAAGATGGTAACCAAAGCAAAGGTTTAATTTGCTTCATGAATTGTCAGTGGAGCTTAACGTTTGGCTGATTAAAAGAAACAAACAACTTGTGGTTTTGTGTTTTAGTTTAGCCACTCAGATCTTCTTTTTTTTTTTACTATTGTCAAAAGTAAAAACTCAATATGGGAATGAATAAAAGAAAATGCCACAAGGGGGGGGGGGAAATTGCTATTTGCTGATAAGATCAAAAGCAAGCATGCATTTTCAGAAAGAATGGGATATCCCTACAGGAAGGCAGTTTACATTATTTTGTTGGGAGAAACGTCCTTCTGGGTTCAGTTCCAAGTGTGGGGAAAAAGACACTGGAAACAGGGAGGCTGCTTGGAAAGATGGTTTAATGGTGGACAGCATCACATGGCTTTGAGCTCCTGAACAGAAAAGGGGGGATCAGGTGCTTCCAGATGTTGGGTGAAGAAGAAAAAGAGGCAGAGATGCTGAAAGTCCCTGGTTTGATGCCCTCTCTGGCCTTTGATCTTGAGCTTGCATTCTGATTGGTGGTCAGACTCCCATGGGGCCGTGCAGGGGCAACTCTGTAGGCTGTGCTTTGAGTCCAAGTTTGGTTGAGCATTGCTTCTTCCCAGGTGCCCTGTGGTGAAATGGGTAAAGGGCTAATACTATCATNTTCCATCCCATTCTCCATACCGTGCTTGTTGAGAGACTTACTCTTTCTCGGGCTTCGCTTGCCAGCTCATGCATTTTTTCATCTCGCAGCACCCGGAGCCAGTCCTGTTCGATCTCTTTGGGGGGAGGAAGGCCTTTCGCCAGTCGGGAGACGACACACAGGATGAGCTGCTCTTTGTCCCGCATCTCCTGCTGCAGCTTAATGGCGAAGGCCTGATGCATGGACAGCTCCGCAATGAGAGCCATGATCTTCTGGGTGGTGGTCTTTATTTTCTCCTGCAGATGGTTCATCTGGAAGGAATCATAGCAACAAAGAACATGGAATCATATGGGCTGGAAGGGACCTCAGAGGTCTTCTAGTCCAATCCCCTCACAATCAGGAGGCTATGAGTTCGATCCTAGGCAGAGGCAGATATTTTTCTCTCTCTGGGTGTGATGAGAATATATCTGCCGAACAAAACTCAGCACTGGCAACAGGAAGGGCATCTGGCCATTAAAAACGGCAGTTTGCTTAACTACTGTGGCAAGACAGGTCGTAAAATGGGACAAATCTCACTTAACTAATACCTCACATAAATCTTGGGCTCGATTGTGGTCATACGTTGAGGACCGCCTATATAGATAACGGTTGTCATCAAACCAAACTGTAATCGTCCTACCTTTTTAGCCAGGATTAATGTCTCCTCCTTGCCGTTTTCTGCCTTGACGCTGATTTTCTCCGTCATTCGGGAAACTTGCTCATAAATAAATTCCTTTTCCAGCAGTCTTTCCTCTTTCCGAGTCAGATGAATTTCCAACTGTAGAAAAAGCAAACATATAAAAGGAGATAAATTCTATTTTCTAGTCTAGTCTAGTTAGTCTAGTCTGTATAAAAGCAGATAAATACGAATTCTATTCTATTCTCTATTCTATTATTCTGTTCTATTTTCTATTCTATTCTGTATAACAACAGAAAAATACGAATTCTATTCTTATTTTTTCTTATTCTTTTTTATGCTCTCTATAAAAGCAGATAAATACGAATTCTATTCTGTATAACAACAGATAAATACAAATTCTATTCTTATTTTCTCTTATTCTTTTATGCTCTGTATAAAAGCAGATAATACTAATTCTATTCTATTCTATTCTCTATTTTCTATTCTATTCTGTATAACAGCAGATAAATACAAATTCTATTCTTATTTTTTCTTATTCTTTTTTATGCTCTCTATAAAAGCAGATAAATACGAATTCTATTCTGTATAACAAC